TTATTAACTTAACTTGTTACAGTTTTCAGTAAGAAATTAAGATGAAAACAAATGGGAGATTTTTTTTAATCTGATCCAACGTTGATGCTTATTATTATTATACATATTTGTATTATTTGTTCCAATTTAATTGGAAATAACAGATACCTGCTCATTCCAATCTGATAAATTTACATTTTATTCTGATCAAACTCATTCAGATTAATGAAGATGTTTACATAAAAGGATGAAGAGCCAGCTTGATCACTAATGAATTATGTAAATTTAGCTATTGTTTCTGAAATGTAAACATTTAATTTATACATGAGAAACCTAACTACATTAAACAAAGGGAAAAACTAAATACATGTCATACATATTTTCTTCTCTCACACACATGTCCACATAGTCATGTTAACTCAATTTAGTTCTTCAAGTTCAAGAGAATACAAAATTAGAGGACAATATCTCTAGGAAAATACTACACACTCCCTCAGGCATCATAGTGTAAACGCATTTGTAAACTAGAAAGTAGTTAAAGCAATATACAGCACGCAGTCTGATTTAAAACAAACAAAAATCACTGGAGGTTATGAAGATGCTAATGCATGTGGGAATGCACAACTTTACACAAATGTGCACAGTCAATCCAATGAGTTTTTATTTAGCATCTTCTGGACTCCAAGCTGCAAAATGTCAGAGAGCATTTGCGATTTAGCGGGTTTGCCTCAAGGTTCCTTGTGCCAAATGCAGTCATAATTTTCTTGTCAGATGACTGTTTTTCACCCTCTCTCAGACCCTGGCAATTAAACTGACCTTTTTATGCGGCTGTGCCTTTGAGATTTCCGTGTAAACACCCTCATCGCATGTGAAATATTACTTCTTTATTTTGATTTCTAGCTTGCACTCTCTCACAAGCTGCAGGTTTGCTGTCAGGTCCAATATATTGCAGCCTCATTACATTGTGACATGTTCACAAGCCCATGCTAAAATGTGACACAAAATTTTTCAGATTTGACTAAAATTATCATTCTGCTGGAATACTTATATAAAGTTGCTTTTATTTATACAGCTTTAGTCTTATTTATATAGCTTTGTTATACAATAATAATAAATTCTAAATAAAATAATCATTATTTAAATTTTGAATTAATTGATCATCTGATACTGGAATCATTTTGTTTGATGGTCAGTCCATTGTCTTTTACGGTATAACAGACCTCTTTTTTTCCTGTTCATTGGCAATCAACATATGAATATTAACTACACAAATTATTAATAATAATAATAATAATAATAATAATAATAATAATAATTACAGTAAAGTTTATCATTATTTTTTAGTAACCTTTAGATTTGACTCATTTTGCATGTTGTCAGATTCAGTAGAATCAATCTAAATTTACAAAAATCCAATACTATAGATTATTTCAGTTCTGGTCCAACTTTAACTTTGTTTTTGTTTTTGTTGTAGGGGGTAGGGGTGGGGGGGCTTCCCAAAAAAGCTTCTGCCAACTTGTTACTTTAAGTTGAGTTAATCTCACGACTCCTCACTAGAAAAAATAAAGGTTGCAGTATTTCTAACCATAACAACAACGACAAAAAATAGTAACACCAATAATAACATTAATGTCATTATTATTAACAACAACAAATTACTACTGCAGTAATGCTAACATAATTTTAAAGCTGCAGAAATAATAATTTAATGTGAATTTTTATCTCACATTTACCTAGTTTGCTCTACAAAAAAAGCACTTAGCACTTGTGGACTGTTAAGTTGTATTTAACTGTTATGTATATACTGTATATGGAAGTGTTTACTAAAAAAATTTAAATGAAAATTAATAAATTGAACTTTCAAAAACAACTATCTAAATTAAAAAAATCAAACAATCAAATAATAAATCAAAATGAATTCTCAAATAAGAAATCAAATGTATTTGATATTTAATTTTCATGAACAACTTAGTAAAATCCTAAAATAATTAAATGATAAATCAAATGCTCAAACTATAATTCAAATGGAGGAACCAGTTTCTGGTCCTCCTGATTACACACACACAGCTGGAAGCTTATAATGGACTTATTACTAGGACTATAAAGACACATCTTAAACAAAAGCTGCGTCACAAATGGCGCACTATACACTATGCACTCATGCACTATGTACTTAAGCACTTACACACTCAACAGTATGTCGTCCCAAATGGAGCACTAATGTTTTTTTTACTACACGGATTTTCAAGCCCGTTTCCCTGATGACGTTTGACGGTTGCCAAATCAGTGAAATAAATGACCAAACTATCAAATATTACCTGCCATGAGTATAACCGCATTCACCATCGGGAGGCGCTAAAATCACTATCGTAGGAGAATTTTGCTTTCACCATCAAAAATAAATAAAGTTATCCAACATGTGCGCTCGATAGCTCCGCCCCTTCCGCTACGTGTGCAAAGCTGCGATTGTTGAGTGCGTGAAGTGTCCAGTATTACACACTTCATTTTACCGGCTGAATGAGTGCATTATGCGGGTAATTAAAGTGCACTTATTATTTTTAGAGTTTTCAGTGTGAACACACTACTTAAAATATTTATACTACTAAATGGTGTAGAATAGTGCATAAGCATGTGAATTGGGATGCAGCTATAGACTCTTTGCTGAGTCTTTTTTTCAACATTTGTCTCTGTTTTAGTATTTTTTTTTTTTAATTGAACTATGTTTGTTTGTTTTGATAATGTATTTCTTCATACTAATTTTCAAGAGTTTTTTTGTTCACTCAATATTTAAGGCCAGTGCAACTGATGTTTTTAAAAGTTGAGTACACAAGAAAAAAAGAAAGGAAATAAGTATTATGAGGTTTTTCTTTTTTTCAACTTCATTTTAGGTCAGTGAATCTGATGTTTTAAAAAGTTGAGTAAACGAGAAAAAACAAAAGGAAATAAGAATTTTTTATTTATTTTTTTCACTCAATTTCAGGCATTCCAGTTTTGCAGACATTGTTCAGTTGGCACAACTTAAACAGTTTTGACCTCTCTAGACAACTAATAATCTTATGTTAACACAACTAAATGTTTTTTTTTATTACTGACAAATAATTTTAGGTCAGTGCAACTGACGTTCTCATAAGTTGAGTGAACAAGAACAAGCAAAGCGAAATAAGGATTATGTTTTTTTGTTGTACTGGCTTAAAATATTTACAGAGTATATAAAAGGAAAACATTTGTTATTATGGTCATCTCTTTTATTCTTTATTAGAAATATGTATGGTGATTTATCAATTCTTGTATTGCATTGGTGTAACGTGACCCAGAGCTTTGTTTATCGAATGATTCATTTGTATCTAATAAATTACTAACATTTTGCTATTGAAGAAAACCCTCTCCTGACCTTTTTATTGAACACACATGGAATTGGCTGAATAATCCAACAATAAGATTATGGTATAAATATCTCTTGCTGTAGAAGAAGCCAGATCCATACTCCATACTCTACCCAATAGATTAAACCCATTGTGTTTTAAGCTAATAACAAGACTTAAAGCATGTTGGATTTGTTGATATTATTACATAAATCTTGTTTTTATTTGCTGCATTTACAGTACATTTAACTAACAAATATCAAATCACAAAAAGTTTAGTTCTATTATGTTAAAAGTATGTTATCCAAATGGATGGAAATTTTAGATGCAATCAGAATAAATAAATCTTATTTGTTAGGCCTATATTATTTTTTATTTTTTTATTTATTTATTTATTTTTGAGTGTAGGAAGCCACATTTAGACAAGGTTCTCCTCTCACACAGAAGACCAGGTACAAAATATATAAAAATAAAGAAAGGTCGTTGATGATTTTCTCTTCGACTCTCTCAAGGTCTCTCTGTTTGTGAAGAATGTGTCGGTGTTTTTGTTCAAACTTTCTGAAAGGTTGCTATACTTCTATTTGACTCCAAAAGGCCATTACCCATAAAGAAACCACCACATTTCACATCTCTGAATGAGAGCGACATTTAATAAAGCTGACCCTGACTCATTCACCAGAGGAAGCGGACTAACAAAAGCCATATTAGTCATACCTAGCGGGTCAGTTTCCATTGCGTGAATAGTACACAGTTTGAGAAGCACAGGAATGGTTGTAATAAGAATAAAGTTAAGTGAGGTCTTAAATTAATAAGTTATAGTCAATGTTTAAAAATATTTAACAAAATTACCCCACCACCACCCAGTGTCAAGTTACGCCCAAATAAATTAGATTAGGATATTTATATTAAATTAATAAAATTAATATTCTGCTTTGCAACTACAACTGTACAAATTATTTTTATAAAAATTTCCCTTTATATAATTTATATACATTAATAATACCAATTGTAAAATAAATATTAAAAAGTACATTTAATTTATAAAATAATGTTGCATTACATATCATCGTATATACAAAATAATACTATTATAAATATGAACAATAGGAAGAATAATATGAAACATTTTATTTATAAATGTATATTACACATGCATGACAATAAAACCTTTGAACTCTGTTTAGGTTTTCATGTGGCCTAAATATGTGCTAGTAAATAGCACACTTAGGTAAGAGTAATGCTTGATTTATTGATACATTTTGTAGTTTTATTAATAAATACTTTGGCCAACTGTGTCCAATAGCATTTTTAGAGAAGAAAATCCTCACAACCCAGTGAGAAACAGAAGAGAAGAATGAATACTGGAGCTACACCACTTTAAAATATTCAGACTTGCCTTCAGTCTACAGCCTTCAGCTTTCTGTGTTTACTTTATCACATATTCATTCTGACCAGCCTTGGGCAGTCAGCAACTTCTCCTCGAGTTGAAATATTGAGATGGATTCTTGCTTTCAATGTAAAATTAAATTAATAAAAATCTAATTATTAATGAAATCCTTGGGAAGTTCATTTTTGACTTGATAGATTGTGATTCCGCTGTGCATATGCCTGATAATAATATGCGGTTTGTGCACTGTACTGTATATAAAGCATGCTCACCGCTCTCTGTTGAATTTGAGAGAGTGTAGGATAGCTGGAAGTCGCTGCCGCAGGCTCCAGAGATGCAGCGTATCATCCGCACAGGCTGTGACTAGCGCCCCCTATAGAAACAAAAGCATAACTTACATTACTCAATTAATACTACAACATTAATACTCTAAGACAAAGATGCTATAAGCTTTTTTAGACATTATGGTAATGTAGTGTACAATGTAGCTTTTTTCTGTATTTGAAAATTATTTTCTCATTATAAATATACAAACTGCCTAACAAGCAAATGCGTGTAACAAATCTGCATAACTCCAGTCGGTCTTGATTGGCTGCCCTAAAACCCTGCAGCCGAGGCCTGGATGTGTTTGTGGATTGTTGACTTGCCAAGACTTTCAGAACATGTGATATGAAAGCAAATCCACATTGCAATGACTTTGAAAAGATGAGGACTCGGACTTGGATTGAAACTGCAAAACTAGAGCCATCATTACTGTTTGTATCATTGTGCTGTTAAAGGGCTGAAAATTATTTCCAGCAAACACTGACCAATCTGATCAGGCTCTCACAATGGTGGGGGTTTAGAGAGGCTGGATCCTTAAAGTAACCTTTTCAAACAATTAAAAATAAAGGCATGCTACAATGCAAATAATGAGTGTTCTGAGTGTTTATTGTATTTGGACAAAAATAAATCTGTTTTAGGAGACCTAAAACAAAATTAAGACGCTTTAAAAAGGGCACATTTTATCCCACTGCGGTCCATTCACAGTTTTATAGGATGACCATAAAACAACCTTAAAATACTCTATAAGTTTTGATTGTACTGATAACATACACACAGATTTTAAAGGGTCTATTTTTACTTGTACACATTCATTAATATAACAAAACTATGTAACTTTGAAAAATGAATAAAACAGACAGTGAGAGCTTTCTGGCTTCTCTGTCTTTTGTCAACATGACAAACACATCAAGAAAAAAAGAGCTGAATTATCTGCAAATATTTGCCTCACAGACATAAGAGACATACAGTTGAAGTCAGAATTCTTAGCCCCCCTTTGAATATTTTTCTTTTTTTAAATATTTCCTGAAAAGGCGGCGCAGAAGGTAGTACTGTCGCCGCACAGCAAGAAGGTCTCTGGTTCGCTGGTTCGAGCCTAGGCTGGATCAGTTGCTGGTTCTGTGTGGAGTTTGCACGTTCTCCCTGCATTCGCGTGGGTTACCTCCGGGTGCTCCGGTTTCGCCCACAGTCCAAAGACATGTGGTACAGGTGAATTGGGTAGACTAAATTGTCCGCAGTGTATGAGTGTGTGTGTGAATGAGTGAGTGTGGATGTTTTTCAGAGATGGGTTGCGGCTGGATAAGTTGGTGGTTCAGTCCACTGTGGCAACCCTGGATTAATAAAGGGACTAAGCCAAAAAGAAAATGAATGCATGAATGCATTTCCTAAATGATGTTTAACAGATCACCGAAATTTTCATAGTATGACCAATTATATTTTTTTCTTCTGGAGAAAGTCTTATTTGTTTTATTTCGGGTAGAATAAAAGCAGTTTTATAATTTTTTAAAAACCATTTTAAGGTCAAAATTATTAGCCCCTTTAAGCAATTTTTTTTTCCGATTATCTACAGAACAAACCATCATTATACAATAACTTGCCTAATTACCCTAACCTACCTAGTTGACCTAATTAACCTAGTTAAGCCTTTACATGTCACTTTAGCTGTATAGAAATAGGTAGGTAGGTAGGTAGGTTACTTTATTTATACCCGAAGGTAGATTTGATTTGCAGTCAAGAGTCCTCATCTCACAACAGTGCCACACAAAGCAACTCACACAGTAACAATAACAAATGCACATTAAGACATAAAACGTAAACATAAAGAATAAATAAAAAATCTCTTTAAGTGTCCACCCCCCTCCCCCAAGTAAATATTAAAATGATCTAAAATATACAGGTCACTGAAACATCTCTGCTTAAGTCTTATTTAAATGTCTAATGGCTGCTGGTATGAAACTATTTTTGTAACGTTTCATTTTACAGCTTAATACTAGAAACCTACGACTGGAGGGAAGGAGCTGAAACTGAGTGTAGGGGATGAGCAGTGTCATTTAAAATTGAATTTGTAATTCTCTTTAGCTGCCTAGTGTACACAGCTTCTAGATTGGCTAGTGACACCCCGGTCAGCTTACTGGACCACTTAACTATTTGATTTAGTGAGGTTTTATTCTTGACAGAAAGATTCCCAAACCATGACACCAAAGCAAAGGATAAAACAGATTCAAGAAAAACATTATAAAATAGTTTATCAATATGGAAATAATTTAACTTTCTCAAGCAAAATAGTTTATATATCTTTAAATTATCTAATAAAATATGATTTACTGTCATCATGGCAAATATAAAATAAATCAGTTATTAGAAATGAGTTATTAAAACTATTATGATTAGAAATATGTTGAAGTAATCTCCACTCCGTTAAACAGAAATTGGGGAAAATAAATCTGGCTTCAACTGTATCTGCATAATGCCTGAAAAGTATACTTTTAAAACAAATGTTCTCTGGTTTTGTAATAATAATACATACAATGTATGAAATTAAAATAATGCATAGTCTAGCCCATGTTTAACTCATTATCTGCAATGAATTCCTGCCTTCTGCTTGCAAACACAAATCACATGACAGTCACGCGAGCATATGGATGCCCACAAACAGTGTATTGTATGAGCCATCAACAACTTTAATTTATGAAACTTTAGACTGGTATTTCATTCCAGTTTGTCACTGAAAAAGCATATTGCATCAGCCATTGTACCTCAAAATAATACGTTTCATGTCCCACTCGTCACAATCCTCATAATAACACACTCCTCAGACCTGGAATTTAATTGATTTTATCTGAAGTTTTGAATGTGCTTCCCTTTTATTTCAATGTCCTAAAACACTTTCTACTGTTTAGAATATTATGCTACAAACAATGCATCATGCAGGTTCAAAATGAAATACAAATTTGCTCATATGGTTTTTGGGAAATGATAAACCTTAATTTATTTTGTCACATTGATACATTTCAGTCTGTGTAACTCTGCTTGCTGTTTTCTCATGCATTTCATGCATATTTCATGACATTAAAGTCCTTCTTGGATAGAGACTGCAATAGTCTGAGGTGAGAGAATTGCCACAAGTAACGCTGCACTGCATGTACTACAAAACTCAGAATGGTCTTCACGGGCAATGAAGGATGGAACACGAGAGAGAGCAAGAAAGTGATGAAAGTGTCTAAAAGTGTGGGTGTGAAAAATCATTTTACCATTGTGCCTGACACTGTCAGGATGACAAAAGTCTTTCTGACCCGCTTTTTCTGCAAGCCCTATGTAATTTTGACCTATATGATATTCTTTTTGCCTGTATCTAATTTTCTTTTCAAATGCCAGGCTCAATGTCAAGAAAGCAAATAATTCAGCTTGAAACCTGGTAAAATGAGTAACGTTTCAGTTCTTAAAGGAGAACATGGCACATGTTTTTATCACATCACTGCCTAATCTGAGAGTGATCATGGGTGAACATTAGGTCTATGAGTAGGTCTATTTTTGTTTTGTTTTGTCTCTGTCTTTGTTTTCTTGTCTGTGTCTCTCAGTACATTGAATCCAGATTCATCAGTCAGGTGACTGACAACACTGTTTCCATGGAGATGGTGTTTAGGTAAACAGATTGCACCGGCGCACCAGAAGACAAAGAGAAAAAGGAAAACACACATTGAGAGGGAACTTTAGTTGTGCCATGTTGAAGTCAATGAGAATTTGCAACACGTTTTGCTTACACAATGCAATGATTCCAATGGAACTAAATATTGTTTAAGAAACTGTATCCTAATGAAAACAGACCAAATGGAAAACACTGCGGTTATTAGCAAAAGCGAGTCCTGAAATGACAAAATAAATAAAAAACTAATATGAAACAAAAATAAAAATTAGTTTATAATGAAAATAGAAATATTACAGCTTTTTAAAAACAAAAACATCAGTACTATATAAATAATGCTAAAAATATCACTTGTGAGAGTTTGAAACAATGGATGGAGAATGGAGATGAAGGAAAGTTAAATAAATTAGTTTAAATGTGCTGTATTCAGGGTGGTTTCCCCGCACAGTCCAAAGATATGCAGTATGAGTGAAATGCAGGAAAATAAATCGGCCATAGTGTGTATGGGTGTTTCCCAGTGCTGGGTTGCGGCTGGAAGGACATATGCTGTGTAAAACATATGCCGGAGTGGTTAGCGGTTCATTTAGCTGGGGCCACCCCTGATAAATCAGGGACTAAGTCAAAGGAAAATGACTCAATAAATTCTGTACTCTACTAAATGAGATAATATGGCGTGGTGTAAATTATATGAATATAACTATAACTATATCTGGTTAGTGTGGTGCCCCCCATTGTGATGCAAGAATGCCTTTTAAACTGATAACTCTCTGTTGTTAATGGAATCAATATTAATAAAAATTAAAACCTGATGTGTAATATCTGAATGATGGACCTCTGGTTAAAATCGCAAGAGCATGTGTGTACAATATTTGTCCAATATTTGTGTGTGTGTGTGTGTGTGTGTGTGTGTGTGTGCATGTGTGTGTGCGTGTGCGTGTGTGTGTGTGTGTGTGTGTGTGTGTGTGTGAAAGAGAACATTTCTTCAGAGCATGTTATTCAGAGGAAAACCATGTTTGTTTGTCATTTGTAACCAAAATGCCATAACAATTTTCCAAAGTAATAATTAGGAATAGCAAATATTAGGGCATTAGACTCCTGCTGTTTTATTTTACCACACAATTATATAAAGATCACCATCTTAGCCTTCACACCAGAGGCAATAGCATACTGTTTATAATAATTCTGTTTACTATGTAGTGTACTATTTACACTCTCAAGCTTTTACAAAGATGGGGCACATTATTTGATGATGAATGGTCATAGTATGATGCATTGCTGAACAAACTAACTAGCTATCTCTGACAGTTCCCCGAACTCTTTCACACATATCATAAAATCCGCTTGTTAATTAATGGGTGACGTATGGAATACTGTTTCCGGGTCCAAGCTGCTACTCATTCGAATAGAAAAATATTCGTTTATGACCACTTTTTAGTCTTATCACACATTAAAGTGAATTTTATATAAAATCAAGGTGTACACAACAGTCTCTGCATCACAGACACCAATATTTTAATAATTTATTCAAATTAATCCCTTTCTGGCCATTGGATATTGGGCACGGATATTTATATTGCAATCGTGATTTTTACAAAAGTAATACATCGCTTTGTAAATGTTTATTTTTACCATTTGTTGAGCCTCCCCAGTTTGATAGAGTGCTTGGACCTGGAAGCCGCTTCGTGTGACAATACATTTAACAAGCGGATAACTTGCGGTGTCATCTCCACAAAAATTTTGATTAATAAAAATGTCTTTGCACTGATTTAAATTAACAAAGTTATTGCTGCGTTTAGTTTTGTTGTTGTTGCAGCTTATTTTAATACCTGACAGTGAAACAAACAATGGTACGATTGAGTGCTGACATCTAGAGAACAAATTAAGTAGTGAAAAAGGGTTTCAGAGCGCATGTGAAAGCTGCTTATACGTCTAATGTAATGTCGCTCACTGGATATTTTCTCTTTTTAGGAACATTCTCTGTAAACTCTAGAGATTGTTGTGATAGAAAATCCCAGTAGATCAGCAGTTTCTGAATTACTCAGACCAGCCCGTCTGGCACCAACAACCATGCCACATTAAAGTCACTTAAATCACTTTTCTTCCCCATTCTGATTCTCGGTTTAAACTGCAGCAGATCGTCTTGACCATGTCTACATGCCTAAATGCATTGAGTTGCTGCCATGTGATTGGCTGATTAGAAATGTGTGTTAGCGAGTAGATGGACAGGTGTAGCTAATAAAGTGACTGGTGAGTGTAGGTTCCAGTGTTTTCAGCAAGATGAAGAAAAAAAAAACATTCTGGGATGCTAAAAAAAAAGTTAACTTGACCTTTAGCCTCTGAGTCCCCATCATTATCTTAGTATTCAGAAAGAAAGGAGTTCAATCAAACATGGCCTGATTCCTTGGGCAAAAATTTCATCATCTCCACAATTGACTGCAAACTCACATTCAGGTCTGGTTCCACTTTTCACCAACCACTAAATTCCCAATGGATAAAATCCTGTCCTAAATGCTATTCTTCATTTTAAAAATCTTCCACTGCAAAAGTAAAATGGATTGCAAACACCAATTCCTGTTCACTTCATAGCTGTTTAAACAGGGTTGATAGCAAACAAAAAGGACAGAAATTAAAAATAGGAGAGCATTTCTGAATTGTTGTTTTCCAAAATAGCCACCTTGGAAACTCTCCCACTTTCCTCAAATTGTTACCACACTAACTTCTTGTTATTCATGAGCTGATAAGGGTTCATGTGTGTAAGAGCAAGACAGAGAGACTGAGAAATATTCAGCACTTGACACGTCTGATAATGACTGACTGCATTAACACCACAGAGCCGAGAGGGAGAGCAGCTCTTGACCTAAACGTCTTCCTCTGCAAAGCTGAGCATCCATTTACACACATGCTGTCTATCCTGAATTACAGATAAACGCACACAGATGCACTCTGCACTCCTACGTGCTTTCTACATATGCTGTGTGCATGAAAATCTGCTGTAGTATATATGTGTGGCTGCATACTGTATGTGGGTGTTCAGTACCTCATTGATGAGAAACTGCATTTGAAGAACTGCCGCACCGCTCTCATGCTGGCTGTGACAGTCCACTCCTGGCCGTCCCAGACTGATGACATCGCACAGTTAAGGAAAAGAGGTCTAGAAATCTTACAAAAGCATTGAAAACTTTACAAAAAAAGGCATTCGAAGCTTGGACATAATTGTGTGTAGATATAAGGTGTCCACAGTCATATTGGAGTGATATAAACACAATAAGTCAAACACAATTTTTTTACATTGCCTCATGTTAAAATAGGATCCAAATCCCTCCCATTTTGAGGTCCACCACAACGTGATGTAGGAGTGTGGTTTTCCCCGTCCACTGAATTGATTGACAGCTGCGTATTAACATGTCTCCACAATAACACATACAATCATATCAACAAGACAGAACATGCACAAAGCAACGGGGATTAAAAGATCTGTTGAGCTCTCTGTGATCATCAATCATCATCAAATGTGATCAAGAGTGAGTTTTACAAGTTTAAAACATTTTTAAAACAGTGCATGTTTGTAATAAATTACAGCAATTTTACAGTCTTTATCACACTTTATCACAGTCTTTATCACATCCGTCACATTTGCTGTGCAAAAAAATTAAGCACTGTTTGTGTGTCTATGTGTGCGTGTGTGAACTTTGTAAGAACATTATATGTAAGTCATTTTTGCAGAAAGGCTTGAATTAACCCCACAACAAATACATTAAATAATCAATGGGAAAGTTCCTACTGTAGTATTTCTCACAAACGTTACGTGAGATCTGCTTCCTTCATGTCTGTCACTGTGCTGTTTATCTGACACTGCCGAGGCAGAGATTGAGGCACACTTTGACAGGCATGTGGGAACTGTGGGCAGGGAGAACTAGCATTAAAGGCAAAGCGACAAAAACAGCTACATTTTGTTTAAGGCAGAAAATTCCAAACTTTTGAAAAGTATAATAAATAATCTGCTGGGTGTTTTGAGCTGAAACTTTACAGACACATTCTTGAGACACCAAAGACGTATCTTTAATCTTGAAAAAGGGGTAAAATAGCTTTAAAATCTGAATTGATAAACAGAAAATGTATGTATAAGTTCAAAGTCAAAATTATTATCCCTCCTGTAAAATTGTATTTTTGTTTGTATAAAATTGTAATTGTGTAATTGTGTGTTGTTTAACAGACAATATTTTTAACACATTTTAAAACATCTAGTTTTTTTTTTTTTTTTTTTGGTATTCTATCGTGATTTATTCCTTATACTTTTCTGTAATTGTATTGCAAGATACAATTCTGGTTAAAATGTGATTTAAAGACTTAACTAGGTTAATCAATTTAAGTAGGCAAGTTAGGTTAATTAGGCGAGTCATTGGTGGTTTGTTTTGTAGCCAAAAAATAAAAATAAATTTCTAATGGGGCTAATAAAATTGACCCTAATAATGGTTTTAAAATAATTAAAAACAGCTTTTGTTCGAGCCAAACAAAAACAATTAAGATTTTCTCTAAAATAAAAAATGCATTCTTATAGGAATCACATTGCAGATTTATTTTTCTTTTGTTAATCAACACTTGGGAAATATTTTTAAAAGATCAAAGATTTCACAGAACGGCTAATCATTTTGCCTCCAACAGTATATGCACAGTATATAATGACCCATGTAAAACTGTCTGAAGGTTTGTACCAAGTTCAATGCAGATAGGGTTTTATTAACAATGAAAATGAATGAAAAAGCTGGACCCAACTGTTGTATTGTTTTAAAAAAAAGGTATACACTTGTGCATATTCTCGATGATAACCTGTATAAAAAAGTAAAAATAAATAAATAAATAAATAAAAAGAAGTCAGCTTAAAACCTGCACTACTTGCAGAAGTGATGGGATAAAATAAATTATGCTGTAAATTTGTCAGAAGTCACATGTACTGTATCAATTTTTGAATGATCTGTATGTGATTATTTCACTCTCAAAGTGCTTGCAATTGTTGACTTGTGTTTTATGAATGACCACTGACCACATTTAAGCTATAAGAATCTTCTTTAATAACTGAGTGAAGAAAAAAAGTAACCTAAATAATTGATGGCTTGAGGGTGAGGAAATTTACAACTGGTTCTAATTTTTGGGTGAAATATCCCTTTGAGCAATCGGTCAACTGATACTCCAAGGACTGTTCTTGCAGACATGTATTAGCAAAGTTACTTTGTAATATAATGTCTAAGAGGGACAATAAAAAAAGTGAAAGAAAAAAGTGTCAAATGGAATCATTTTGACTTTACACAATCGTTTAAACATATCTTCATGCAGGAATGTGCTTAAAGATTTATTGAAGCCAATACAAACACACACAGTTACAAATCGCAAGGTGGTGGAAAGAGAACAAGAATCATGCCATTTGTCTCTTCTCTTATCTTAACATGTGTGTGTGTGTGTGTGTGTGTGTGTGTGTGTGTGTGTATGTGTGTGTGTGTGTGTGTGTGTGTGTGTGTGTGTGTGTGTGCGTGTGTGTGCGTGTGTGTGCGTGTGCGCGTGTACGTGTGTGTGTGTGCTTTAGTGCGCAGCTGTATGACTCCAAAAGATTTTAAACGGCAGACAATAAGAAAAGAGGAAAATGCTTACACAAACGAACAAAGGCAAACTCATTCACCATCATCTTGACCACAACAACAAATGCTTTATAAATTCATTTCGTCTCCCCGTGCTCACGTGAGCTTCCCCCGGGTTCCCTCAGTTTGCTCCCACCGTCCAAAAACACGCAACTTAAGTGAATCGACTAATCCAAATCGGCACCATAGAGATGCTCCTAGTAAGTAGTTATCTCTTAAAAGCAATCATTACAGCACAACATGTGCATGTTTAGCAAATTAATAAATGTATTTTTAAAAAAACTACATTATCTTGCTTGCTTTTTGAGCGTTGTTGAGCGAGTTTTTAAATACCTGTGATTGGTCATTGTGTTCTCATACTCAACATTAACTTTATTCAGTCATAATGTAATAAACTGCGATGAGTAAAAACAATTATAATATTACAAATTATCTCTATTTCTCTATTAAACATTAAAATGTCATATTTTCCACTAAGAATATTAGTATCTATCTACTTTCTTGAGCATCAACATCTGCATTATTTTTGAAGGAATATGTGACCAAGAAGACTGACTTAATAAAAATGTATAATAAATTACAATGAATAAGTTACATTTTAAAATACCATATAAAAGGGAAATGTATTTCACAAAATGTCATGTGTGTTTTCAGCAAATCTGTGAAGACTTATTGACATCATACAAAACATGTTAAACCCCAAAAATGGCCTATTGCATCTAAACTACCAACATATGTGCACAGTAGTAGCAAAAAAGACTTAGAGCCCAGGCACAATAAGGAGCAAGATGTGTTTGCTATTATTGTTCATTTATTCCTTTCTGGAAATTAAAACTAAATTTAGAAATAGTTTTGAAACAAATCTTTGCACTTAACAAACTTAATTAAATACGTAGGCTAATGGATGTCTTCAGTGCAGTGAGTAAAACACCGTTTCCTTATCCACAAAAGTAAAGGAGTAAAGTAAAGATTAAAAGTAAAGTAATAAGAAAGTAAAGAGGAGGAGTTCCGGTTATGGCGCCTGAGGAGTAGACGTGCGCGTGGTCAGCTCCCAAAAAACTTTTCAGTTTTGTCTATTAACATCAGTGATTTTGTTCGTTTCTGGCAGTATTCGTTTATTTTCTGTTCTGCGACATATGTTATCTTTGAAATGTCAAAAGGAAGGGGCAGACAGATCGATAAAGAAGGTTCTCCTTCGCCGAATGCTAACGTCACGTTGGCCGAGATTCGCGCGCTACATGATGACCTTAGAGCCTCGATCGCAGAGGATTTTAAAACATCTTTTGAAAGTTTGGCAACCAAGCTTGACAATATTCAATCCACGGTGGCTGATCATGACCTTCGCATCGGAAACCTCGAGTCCGGTGCTACAGAGTTTAGTCAGCAACTCGATCAACTCAACGCTACGTGTTTGCGGCTCCAGAAGGACAACGAGTGGCTAAAAGCTAAAGTTTCCGATCTTTAAAGTCGCAGCCGGCGCCAAAACATTCGAATAGTCGGCTTACCCGAATCAGTCGAGGGGCCGCGACCGACGGCTTTTTTCTCTCAGCTTCTGGTCGATGTCCTTGGCTCCCAGGTGTTAACCTCGCCGCCCGAGCTGGACAGAGCTCACCGCAGCCTCGCGCCTAAACCTGCACCAGGCCAGAGACCGCGACCTGTCATCCTGCGATTTCATCGCTTTCAAACGAAGGATTTGGTCGTCCGTGAATCTCGCAAAAAGGGTGAGCTGCTGTATGATGGCCACAAGATTCGTATCTTTGAGGATTATTGCCCTGATGTTGTGAAACTTCGCGCCGAGTACAAAGACGTGATGTCATCACTCTACAAACGAGGACTCAAGCCTGCGCTTCTCTACCCTGCTAGACTTCGAATAACACTTGCAAACGGTGAGAAGAAATGGCTTGCTTCGGTTTCGGAAGCCAACAGTTTCATCCAGAGTTCGAGCTAGTAGCAAACGAGTTGAATTAGACTCTACTATGTACAGTCATTAATGTCTTTCTGGCCGCCTCCCTCTCCAAGGATGCTATAGGATGTACGTTACCTGTGGATTTGAGATATTAACCTGCTCAGTATAAAGACTTTTCCGTGCTTGAACTTAAAAGCTCATTTTATTTATAGTAGGCTGAATTGTAGGCTTGCAGTTTATTTTCCCCTTTTTTTTACATTGCATATTATGCTGCTTTGTTTTTTTTATATCGATCTAAATAAGGGATGACTAGTACTTGGATTTTGGTTTAGATTCACAATGAGCTCAGTCAGGCTTTTTTATACTGCAAGCAGAATTTACTTTTTGACCTTTTTTTTATTACTTAAAGAACAGCCTGGGAGGTTGGCCCAGCGGTTTTTATATTGGACATTGTTAAATTTGATAAAGCTATGTTGATGTTTCTTAGTTAAAAACTTACTGCAGACTATTTTATGTTATGTTAAAATCCAATCTACTTAGATTTGTGCTTATTTTGTGAGGCATAGTGTTACTGCCCTTTTGT